CAGCTCCTCTACCTTTATATGTAGCTAAAAGTTTGGTAAACCCATCTCTCCCTGAGTGCCATGACTGTTGGGCCTGGCGGTTTATGTGTGTACTAATTTGCATACCTCTTTAAAAACTCTGGGATACTGAGAAAAGCCATCAAGAACTTTATTTGCATAAAGGCCTATAAGCCTTCTGGGAGGAAAGATGTGGGGATTTTGAAGCTGAGACTGGAGTCCAGAGATGGGTAATTCCAAGAGCCCCTTGTAGAAATAGGACCAAGGAAACCAAAACTAGCAACGGCCTAAAAAAGTGGGAATCCCCGGGGTTCTTGTCAGGACAGGAGCTTGGAGTCAAAGGCCAATACGGATAGCCTCCCTCCCTCACCCCTACACAGCCCCCTGCCAGAGAAAACAAGAATTACTGGTTAATACTTTATAACAGGACTGTCCAACAGAATTTTCTGTGATGATGGGAATGGGCTGTGTTGTCCAATATGATAGCTACTAACCAACCACATGAAATGTGTCATTTAGATGTAGCTAGTGGGGCTGAGGAACTAAATTTTAAAATTTTACTTCACTTGAAGTCATTTATATGAATTCAATACTAACTGTATTGGCGAGTGCAGCTTTATAAGCTTTCTGCAAAGCCTTGGGACTCCCGGAGGTCAGGGACCAGTTAGAAGTGGCAGTTACGGATGCTCAGGAGGAGAACTGTCATTTGGAGTCCTCAGCCTTTAACTATGTCACCCTGGAAAGAATATAGGCACTAAAAGCAGACAGACCTGGGTTTGAATCTTGGCTCTTTCCTTGATTAACCCTATGAACTTGGGCAAGTTTCCTTTAAACATTTAGAGTCTAAGATTCAGCACCTGTAAATTAAGGACATTAATGAGGGTGTCTCTTCCTCCAGGAGGTCCATAAGGTCTATAGGGCTTGCTTCATCTACTCATTCACTCCACAAATATTTATCAAACACCCTCTAGGGTCAGGCCTTGTGCTAGCTACATAGAGGTGACATGTCACCTCCTGAATGTCACAGCCTAGGGTGGGATATGTCAAATGGTGAAATAGTAAGATCCAGCTTCCATGCGTTGTGAGATTCAATCGGACGATGTGTGTAAAGCGCCTGGTCAGAGTTCTTAGCACTCAGTGTCCATTCCCTCTGTTCTGGCACTGTGCTTCTCTCCTGCTGGGGGTCCGGGCCAGGGCCCCTCTCCGTTTCCTGGCTGCCCACATGGAAAGAAGATAAAACAGTCACCATCCTGACAGAACTGGATGTGTCCCTCACACCAAGACAGAAAACAAGTGATCTGGATGGGAACATAGTCACACTGTCAGGTGTCTGGCAGGATCCTCAAGACTTAAAAAGGAAAAAAAATACCCAAGAGCTCCACCTCCCCCTGACACACGCTGGGAAGAGGCTCCACTTCAGGAGGGTCCAGTCCGGGGAGGGTTGGAGCCGAGTCCTGCTTTCCCCTCACCTGAGTGGGGCTGAGGGTAGCCAGGCTGTTGATGGAGACCTGGATGACAGAGTTCCACATCCCAGGGAAATTTGGGATGTGGACACTGAAACTCCAACCCCACCCTGAAACAGAAGTGCTAAGGGGCTCAGGAGCCAAAGTGGCGGGAAGGAGAGGGGTGGGTAGAGGGGTGGTAGTCTCGCCTACCTGCCTACCTGACCCTCTCACTCAGGAGAACGCCAGCTAGAGTATTATTCTTCCTTCTTCCTTACACAGCCTGAGAGAGGAGTGTCACTTGACCTCAGGGCACATTCCAGAATGAGGCCACAGCCAAAAATAGGACCCAGAACCCTGCCACCTATCCTGCCTATATTAATCACACATTCCCAGAGCAGGAGGGAGACATCAGACTCCTTGGGGAGGTGGGCGGAGAAAGAGGAGACAGAATCAGGAAATGGCACTGGGAAAAAGGAGGGAAGACCCCAGAGAAGCCCCGTCAGAGCCTTGTGGTCAAGCAGTGTGCTGCAGGTGCTTGGTCCCAGGGCCCTTCAGCCAATCCACCGGGAGCTCTGAGAGCTGGGCCCACAGGCCTCCCGGAGCCCCTAAGCAATGATGCTGGCCTGGGGTCAGTTCAAGCTGAGAGGAGACCGAGACTTGGAGGTGGTGTGTTTATGCAGCCTGGGGGACAGCGGAGGCTTCCCTAGAGAACTGAGGCTTGAAGGATGAGTAGGCATAAGGCTGATGTCTCGCTCAGGAATCTAGGCCATGATTGCTTATGTGTGTGATAGAAATACCATGTCACATGGCAAGGTTGTAAGACAGCCCTGGGGTGCTGTGTATGCAGCTGATGGGAAGCAGGCCCTGTGGAGATATTTGGGGTCCTAAGGGGATTCCACACCACCCAGCCCAGTGTGTGTGTGTGTGTGTGTGTGTGTGTGTGTGTGTGTGTGTGTGTGTGACGCTGGAGAAACATCATAATACAAGCATTAAGAGCCATACTGCCTTGGTTCAAATCTTGGCTCTGCTACTTTGCAGCTGGGTGATCTTGGGCATTTCTCAACCCCCTAGCCTCAGTTTTATCACCTGCAGAATAGCGTCCTGTCTCATACAGTTGTGATGGAGGTAACAAGGGACGATGTCCAGTGCCTGTCACATAGTAAGTGCCTGCTCAGTGTTGATGTTATAACAGGACAGTGGAACACAGGGTGCTCTCCAGCCTAAGGAAATCTCCATGTGGCTGTGTATTTATTCTCTCCCTTCCCTCATCAGGTTCCGCCCCTGGTCCCCACTCTCTGGCCCCACTGTCCAGGGGGTGACATCAGACTATGGAGCAGCTGGCCAGACAATGGAGCAGAGTGTCCTAGGAGGCTGGAAGTGCTGGGGGAGGCAGAGGGTGGAAAAAGCCAAGCTGTCCTGCCCCAGAGGCCTCGGGGCTGGTCCGGAGACAGCGGCGCCAGACCAGGCCTCTGAAGAGGCAAACAGAGATAAACTGGAATGAGGGTGGTGGGGGCAGGGGAGGGGGAGAATTGT